ACTTCAAGACAGATCTAGCAATGACTTTTTTAACTATGAAAGCAACTGCATTTTTCCTCACTTTTTCATCTCCAGAGTAATATATCATATGGTCATCCAACTCAAAATGCCCCATGCCAGATTTGTCCTAGAGAGGGCTAAACTGGGCTGGCTCTTGGAGGCAAGGATTCTGAAGCTTTGTCTGATATACTTTGCACATGTTGCAAGGTGGGACCAGTCCTTGGAGAGATACATCATGCTTGGGAGTGAGGAGGGACAGCACAGGAAAGGAAGATTCTCTATGAGATGGATTGATTCAGTGACTAGGTAATGGGGGTAGGTGTGTTGGAGACAGTAAGATTCGCACAGGATAAAGCAGGGTTTAGGGCTCTTGTACATAGGGTTGCCATGAGTTGCAAGCAACTCAACAGCACAAAACAACAACAACAACAACAAAGCTCAAATGTTTTCACAGGGTAGAACAAAAAATCTAAAGAAGTAAAGGAAACACTCTAGAATAATTTTAAACACAATGCAAATAAAACAGATACTACCAATGGAATATAACAAGCCATAGAAAAACAAAAAATTGTAATCTGGAATAACAGATCCAACATTTTAGAAGCTATCAATATGCTGAAAGGACAAAAAGAGCATAAAAGACCACAGATTCAGAGAAAGAGGAAACAAAAGCCTCAACACTTTGTTGACAAACCTACAACAAAGAAAAAAGGAAAAATAACTCAAATAACAAATAAAATAGATGTTGTCACACTAGAATAATGCAAAGTAAAAATATAATAATGGAATATTATTAAAATTTACATTTGAAAATCTAGAGGAAATGTCTAAATTCTTGGATACTCATATGCTTCAGAAACAGACACAGACACAAACAGAAAATTCGGACACATCACAAAAGAAGAAATTGAGCAAATCATAAAAATAAACTGCCAACAATAAAAATCCTTACCTTAGATAGTTTCACTGAAAAATTCGAAGAACTGTCACCAATCCTATATTAATTATTTCCAAATATATAAGAAGAAGGAATACTCCTATATTCATTCCATGAAGCGAGCATAACCCTGATATCTAAACTAGGCAAAAACACAACCAAAAAAAAAAGAAAACTATAGATCAATATTCCTCATGAACATTGACCCCAAAATGCATAACAAAATTCTAACCAATAGAATCCAACAGCATAGCTAAAGAATAACATCATGATCAAATGGGTCTTGATCATGCATGCAAGGAAGTTTCAAAATAAGAAAAACAAACAATATAATTCACCAAATCAAGAAAACAAAGGACAAGAACCACATGATTCTCTCAGATGATGCAGAAAAGGCCTTCCACAGAATCCAACATCCTTTCCTGACTAAAACATTCAAGAAAGCAGGTATAGAAGGTAATTTCCTCAACATAGTTAAAAGTGTATATGCAATACAAATAGCTGACGTTATCCTCAAAGGAGATTAAAAGCATTCCCCTTGAGAATAGAGACCAGGCGAGGATGCTCACTATCACTATTCCTTTTCAATAATGCGTTAGAAGCCCTAGGTAAAGCAATAAGGCAAGAGAAGAAAATAAGGCATCAAAAATGGCAAAGAGGGGACCCGGGAGCCCTCTGAGGAGGCGGGCGGCTGCGGATCGTCAGTTCTCTCTGCGCTCCCCCGCCGCCAGCATGACTGATACACTGCTGCCAACAGCTCCCCAGCCCCTGGAGAAGGAACGCGATGGCTATTTTCGGAAGGGTTGTAACCCCCTTGCTCAAACTGGCCGCAGCAAACTGCAGAATCAGAGGGCCGCCTTAAACCAGCAGATCCTGAAGACTGTTCGGATGAGAACCGGAGCAGAAAACCTTCTCAAAGCAGCCACAAACCACAAGGTGCGGGAACAGGTGCGACTGGAGCTGAGCTTCGTGAACTCGGACCTGCAGATGCTCAAGGAACAACTGAAGGGGCTCAACATTTCAGTGGGGGTCTACCAGAGCACAGAGGAGGCATTTACAATTTCTCTGATTCCTCTCGGACTGAAGGAAACCAAAGAGGTTGACTTTTCAGTTGTTCTCAAGGATTTTATCCTGGAGCACTACAGTGAAGATAGCTATTTATACGAAGATGAAATAGCTGACTTTATGGATCTGCGACAAGCCTGTCGGACGCCCAGCCGGGATGAGGCTGGTGTTGAACTGCTGATGAGTTACTTTATCCAGCTGGGCTTCATGGAGAGTCGATTCTTCCCGCCCACCAGACAGATGGGGATCTTGTTCATGTGGTATGACTCCCTCACTGGGGTGCCAGTCAGCCAGCAGAACTTGCTCCTGGAGAAG